CAGCATATTGCTGGGTTTTGCTTCTTAATCCATTCTGTCAGTTTATTTCTTTTGATTAGTGAATTGAGGCCATTAACATTGATAGTTATAATTGATAGATATTGACTCATTCTTGACATGATGTTTTACTGCTGTTGGCTCTTTTATTTCTTATTTTTCCCCCTTTCCCTTTAGTGTCTTATGTTTCCTGGTGGCTTCCCTCTGTTGGGCCTCATGGAGTTGTGACCTGCATTGTCTTTTTCTAGGATATTGCTTAGAATTATTTGGAGTGCTGGTTTGGTGTTCATGAAATTTCTCAGGTATTCCTTTTCGTGGAAGTATCTAATTTCCCCATCGATTTTGAAAGATAATTTTGCAGGATACAACAGTCTAGGTTGGAAGTTACCTTCTTTCAGGGCTTGAAATACTTCACTCCAGGCTCTCCTTGATTTGAGGGTTTGTGTTGAGAAATCTGCCGCGATTCTGATGGGCTTTCCTTTGTAGATGATTTGTTTCTTTTCTCTAACTGCCTGTAGGATTTTGTTCTTCTTTTGGGTTTCTGGGATCTTCACTATTATATGTCAAGGTGTTGTGTTTTTTTTTTGATCGTGGCTAATTGGAGTTCTATATGCCTCCCTTATCTGTATGTCCAATTCTCTACCTCTGTCTGGGAAGTTTTCCACTATTGCTTCTGTGAACAGTTTTTTATGTCAGTTGTACTTTCTCCTGTTTTTTTGTGAACTCCTATCAGTCTTATGTTATTCTTCTTTGCATCATCTAGCAGTTGCTGCATTGATTTCTCATGGTACCTTACTATTTTTAAGAAATCTCTGTTTTCATGGTCACTAGCTGCAATCCTGTCTTCTATATCTGGTACTCTATCTTCACATTCCCTTAATCTGCTGTGAATACTTTCAATGAAGTTTTTAATCTCCTGGATATCTATTTGAATTTGTTTCATGTATTCCATTTCTTTCTTATGTTGGGCAATCATGGTTTCCATTTCTTTCTTATGCTGTGCATTCATGGCTTCCAGCATGGTTCTGATCTCATCTATTTTTTTTTTATCTGTTTCTGTTCCAGAGCCTCTAGTCATGTCTTTCACTCTGCTCACCATCTCTGTAGTTATCTGGGAAATTATTTCTGCTTTGAATTTTTCTAGAGCCTCATTCATCTGTTTTATTACTTCCTTTGCTATCAGTTCAGGATGTCCAGGTGGTTGATTATCATACTTTTCCACCTCATTTCCCCCAGAATTTGCCTTTGGTGGGGTGGAAGTCTGAGTTTGTGTCTTGGTTAAATGTCTTCTCATTTTTGTTTTGGTACTGTCTTTGATTTAATTCCTGGGTTGATATTTCAAACTTGCTTATTGTAAGTATGTTTGTTGCTTGTATTTAGAACCCTTGTGGAATGCTTGCTTTTCAGAAGTGTCTTCCAAATATAGCTGGTCTTTAGGTTTTGAGTCTCTAATGACTGTGAGGCTATCTCATTTTCATTATACAAGGAAGGCAATTACAACACTTTAGCCCAAATGATACAATCAGCAACACCATAGCATCAAGCACAGCTAAGAAAATGACACTTTGTGGTAGTTATTAATCTATCACCTTTAACTGTGGAAATTAAATCAAAATTGAGGACCAGCCTAACATACATTTATAGTGAATAAACTGTTCAATATAGCAATTTTACCCTTTGGGATGGGGA